ACTCTTGATTGTGCGCAAAAGAGGATTGATATTGCTCAGAATGCTCAGGATACTGACATTTAATATAATAAAGTTAACTCCACCCTCAGCCCTGCCTCAGCCAAAGCAAAATTTCTTATTCTAAAAAGAGCTCTTAAAAGCAAAAAATTTAAAATTTCAATATAATTTTATTTAATTTGAATTACACATTGCAAATAATATTAATCTTTATAATTTAATTTTAATATTTTATTTTTTTTTAAATTTTTACTAAAAAAAAATAATCTATGATTTTAAATGTAAGGTCTAAACTTGAGTCTGTGAGTTGTTTATAAATATGTAAAATTATTGAATTTATATAAATTAACAACAATATATAATTATCAGAATATGATAAGAATAATTTATAGATAGAATTCTTCCTCTTGCATTGCCGACATGTATTGTGTATTATTCATTATTATTTCTGTAAGAATTCAAAACTTTCTATGCACAAATCAATCACATAGAAAAAAAATTCAAATTAATATTCTTTATTATAAAAAAATATCTCATAGACAAAACAAACAAACAAACAAACATATATTATGCATTTCAGGAAAGAAAAAAAAAAGGAAAATTCATCTTTAAATATAAAAATCTTATTGTTATTAAATTTAATTTTAAATTGAATTCTAATCAAAGAACAGTCGTCATCAAAATATCAGACAACTTCACAGACATCGACTTGTTATCATTTGGAATGCAACAGTCTAGACAGAGGTGGCGCACAGGTTGCATAACTTGTACAAACAGGGGGGCGAAACGCGAGCGTCTTCAAGTTCAAAGAACACTTTTTGTTGTTCCACGACGGCAAACAGTGATTTTATTTTGGCTTCAAACAAACCCTTTCCCTCCTTAGAGTCTCATATTTACGGGCGGCCCGAACCCCTTTTGTTTAATTAATTTATTCACCGTAGCGCTTTAATTTCACTTTAAAATTATTTCCATGTAAATTTTTTCACTCTCCACAAGAGGGTAAAAAATTACTTTTATTCTCACTCAGGGCGTGTTCAGCCCGAGCGCCGTCGGCAATTAATCAATTCGTCAATTTCCCGTGTCGGCTCGTAAATGAACGGCGACGGCTCGATTATCACGTTGAGCCCCGCCGCCGGCCCTGTAGCTTTTATTTTTCCAGAACGACTATGCAATTTCCGCACGCGATACGCGTCTCTGGCAGCCACAAACAATGGGGTGTGCAGCAAATGCACTTTGCCGAATGGATTCCGCAAAAGGTGCAGAGAGCGTCTCGGGTGAGCCGCAAAAACCCGAAACGCAGCAAGAAAGTCTTTTGTCCGTGGGGGTGCCCTTTTGGCAAGGGGGAACGATGCTGGTGGCAAAGGCGGGTGCGATCTCGTTGCATCTTCACCTAACAACATTGGTGCATATCATCTTCCTGGGCAGTGCAACATGGTTTCCAGATTAAATAAAATTTTGAAAATTTCTCCTTCGGAATAAATAAATTGTATGAAATAATTGGTATAGTATTGTTTTAATTTTTACAGATCATTCATTTACAATTCATAAATTATAACAAAATTAAATGTTGATGCCATTCAATTTTAATTTCTACAAAACGAAATATTGAGATGCCATATAATCAGTATTATCTTAACTATATCTTTCAAAAAATGCTTCAAAATATGAATCAATACTCATTTTTAAGACCGTTGTATACAGATTGTATAGAAAATTTAATCATATTCATCAAGAAACAATATTTAATAAATAATTATTTGACAAAAAAATTTGATTATTATAATCAAAACGTGATGGGAAACAAATAAAATGTTTAACTACCAAAATAATTATTAATTTCCGAAAAATCTTCTTTTACACTTCCCTTGAATTATATACGAATACTTTTCTCTCCTTTCGGCAGGCCATTCAATAAATTCAACGCTTCCTTTACGACTGACTCATTCCGTCCATAGCACGGGGAAATTTATTCCATAAACCTGCACGTCTCCTTTCTCCTTCATCTTCTTCTTCTTTTCCCGTCTCCCGAGTGTTTTATTCTTTTCTTTCACACGCGACAGAAAGGGAGGAATTTTATGATTGCGTATGCGGTGCTAGGGCATTAAATTTTCAAGCTGCTCTTCGCTACAAATGGAATTAATGTAATATCGCATGCAGATCGCGAGGGGAGCAGAGACGAAAATCCGGCTTTCCAGCAAGAAACTTAGTTTTTTCAAAAAATCCTGCGGTTATGCTCTGCGTGCGGTTTTAAAAGTCGAAAAGCGTGCACGGAGATGATGCTGCTCTTGCGGTTTTCGATCAGGAGTTGTGTGTACAGGAATAACAACTCGCTTACGTGAAGCTGAGAGGGCAGCCACTCACGTTTGCTTTCAATTAGCTGATTGCACCACCTTCCAAAGAAAATAGGGAGCAAATTGATTGGATTTGGACAATGATGGGAGCCAATTTGATCGGAAATTGATTACGAAACAAAAAAGGGCAACAAGAGCAAATCTGACATCTATTTTTAATTTATCAAATATTATAATATTAAAGAAATCCTGGTCGGAATAAAATTTTAATTTCAGAATTTATTTCCTATACAATCTTAGTCAGTGTTTCTTAATATTTAATTTAGGGTTCAAATTGTATTTACTTTCCCAAGCAATTTTAATTTAAATATAAACAACCAACCATACTCAAGAAAATAAGCAAATATTTTTTTTTTTTGCTTAACAAACAAAAATTTAGGTTAAATTTTCTTTTAAATCCAGAAATTCTAATAAAACTCGGCTATTTTAACATTTTATATTGAAGATAATATTTAAAAAAGAAAGAAAATGGTTAAATTTGACAGAACATTTTCACTGCAAATAATTTATGAAATAAGAATTTTATAATATTTGCACAGCAAATGAATTTTGAGATTATCATTTTTTTTTTTGCAAGTCTTCAATTTAAAATTAATTTGCTTTGCCTATAAATTAGTTGCATGTGACCATCTATTTTTTCACCCTTTAAAGCACATTTTTATGTTATTTTGTTATTCTGCATCCCTCTTGAGCCCGAGACCTGCACAAATCCATCCCACTAATGGATCTGTTCCGGTTAGTGATCTGTGCCTCGGTGGTGCTCTCCGGCGTGCATTCAGTTTGCCCCCGATGCAGATCGAATCGGAAGAGAGTACGTGTGTGTCTGTAACCATGGTGACCAGGGTGCACCGCCAGATGTACATCTCTATGTAGAGCCCAACGCAAAGCACATTGCTCCGGCGAATGTATTTAGAGAGAGAGAGGCGCGGGTTTGCAATTGATTTTCGCGCCGCTGCAAATTGACTTGCGACATGACGGCTTTTGACGTGAATTTAATGAGGTTTGTACGTCTCTTTGTTTTTGGCGACGAGTCGCGGAAATTCTGCCTCGGTGCGGAATTTCCTCCCAATTAGCAACATGAACCGGGGCTAAAAACGACGCTCATTGGCACAAACGTGCTCTAGTGTTGCTCCGTTTTGCATGCTGGAGAAATGAAATGTGAGGAGACCTTTGAGCGTGTAATGTGCTGGTTTGCCTTGGATAGGCACGGTAATGTTCACAAATTTTGTCAAAGGGCAATCAACTTTTATATGATATTTGTATGCAAAAGTTCCATAATTTTCGTTAAAATTAAAAACTAAATATGTATTTTTGTAAATCCAGGTTTCTAACTAACAATAGTTTTCTATCAAAATTCTATTTCTATAAAATAAGAATTTTTATAATTCTTAAAATATAGATTATAGGAATGTTTTCCAACTCTTCATCACTAGGGTAGCTAAAATAAACCCCCTTGATCAAATTTCAAGTTTAATTAAAGGAAAACGTCAGAAAATAAAATTAATTGATTGATATTGTTGAAGTAGTTAAAAAGCAGTTTTCATTGGGAAATAATAATATTTTCTAATTTTTCACAATTTGAACTTTTTTGATTAATATTGTTTAGTAATGTTATCATTATTTTTAGTGCGGTTCTTAATCAAATGTTTTAATATGATTGATAATTATTATAAAAATCAATTTTTTTTCTTGCAGCTTTTTCATTGAAACTAGATTGATTTAAATGATTTGTTTGCTCCGTTGGTTTACATCTGCGCGTTTGACAACAGCAGAAGATGAAGATTTCGTTTTAAATAAAGTCCTTCCGTGTAATAAAACACCCAACGGTTTTTTATTTTATTGTATTCGATAGTATTGAGAAATAAGTGAAGAAATGTCTGAAGACCTTGTTTTATCTCACCGAGTTCTTATATTTTGTTCTTGTTACCGATCCTTTTGTTTTTCAAGCACCGGTCGAATATCTGTTGATCTTTGTTACATTAGATGACACAGACATATAATGACATTAAGAAGGGCGTGCATGACTTAATACTTAATAACTTCAGGAAATTAAAAAAATAAAATTTTTAATGCCAAGTTGCAGAAAGTAAACTAAAATAAATGATTTTCTGGTTTTTTTAATAAAAACCAGCAAATCAGCATTAATAAAATATAAAATAATAATAAAATATTTACGATTAATTTAAAATTATAATAAAAATTTAAATTATCATTTTAAGCAAAAATTAACGTTTATTTTTTTTTTATTTGCATATTCAAAGGAGCAAAGTTGATTGCATGAAAGTTAAGTCTGGAGGTTCTAAAAATAATAAAATAGTTCATTTTTTATATTAATTAAGAACAATGTGGATTGATCTCATTCTCAGAAAATTGCGCTTAAAAAAATTTAGATTTGTCTGCATTACACATCAAGGCAGGTTAACTTCAGGTCTTTAATTGATGGTAAACAAAGCTCTGTTCAGACTATTCAGAGGCAATGCATATTCTTTTATTATAAATTGTATAAAATTATTAACTTAACTGATAAATTTCCAAAATAAATACCAATAAATACATTAAGGCATTCATAACATTCATTTTAAAGAAAAATCGAAAAAAATAATAATAATAATAATAATAATAATAATAATGAAATGAGTGGGACCATCCTACCTGGACTTTTGGTGCGAGACGACGTGGACTACGCTGGAGGGTCTGGAGCCGGTGGACGAGCAGATTGAAGCCGGTCGCGCCGACGAAACGGCCGCCTCGAGTTCGGCGCCGACCACGACGACGAGGCCGGCGGTGGCGGCGCCGGCCAGGCCGCCGGTCACCGCCGACGAGGCCATCTGCTCGATGTCCGAGTCGATGCCCTGGTCAAAGTCCATGTAGAAGGAGTCGCGGGAGTCGCTCGAGCCGCGACGTAGCTTGAGCGACAACTCGTTGGAGGACGTGTCGTCGTCTTCGACCATGCTCCGCGGCCGCCGCTGGCCTTTGGCGCGGCCGCCTGACGTCCGAGAGGCCATCCTTTGCTCGCGCGGCTACCGCGACGCACTCGCACTCGCTCCTCCACCGAATTGCAAACCACACTGCCGCTCGGCGCTCAGCCCGCTCGTTCGCGGGGAGAGAGACCCCGAAGACCCGCCGCTCGCAGCCACGCGGCGGTCGTGCTGCTATCTAGATGTGCCCATCTGGACTTCCCTCTTCATTCACGTCAGCTCAAATGCTACTTTACTTGTCATTAGTAAATAATATTAAAATGTGTTAGAAAAAAGTAAATATGATAATTTATTTTTATAAATTATACTAAACATATAACAAAAATTTTTATTTATTTTATTTTAATTTATATATTATTATTAAATCATTGCAGTTGTTACATCATATATTATTTTATTATATTCTTAATCTAAATATTTTTTTTTTAGTTTTTTGTATTTAAATTTTTCTTATTTATATATTATTCTCATATTATACAAATCCACATACTAAAACGTGCTTAAACGCATATTTGATTCTATTTTGTATGAACTTTAATTTGTGGTCGATATATAGACGTAAGTAAATTATAGTAATTAAATTATTATTTTCCAATCTTGGAGCTACAATTTATTAAAGTTTTTGTTAAAATGATAGCATAATGCATTCATTCGTTTATGTTCTTCTTATGCTCACTTTAAGAAGCACTACAGTAACATAATAATACGACTCGTGTAATGTGTATAAAAAGTGGTCATTGACTTCCATAACTTCTCAACCTAGCGGGCCAATTAGCCTTCTGGAGATATAAATTATATGGAAATTTTGATAATAAACCTTGGCTACTACCCTAAAAATTTTGGATGCTCAAAAGTGAAAAGTCTGCCTCGGCGGCGAAGTACCGCCCGCCCTTCTGGCTATATTTGTCTTATTTTTAGTTCCCTTTATATTATCAAAATTTCCAATAAAATTTTTTTCTCCAGAGGGCTAAACGGCCCCCCAGTTTGGGAAGGTTTTGACCTAAGAAAAATATAACCAGAAGGTTGGAACTCCGCCGTGGCAGACTTTTCACTTATGAGCATTCAAAATTTTTTTGTTAGTAAATATAATAATTAATCATGATGAGTCACGTAAAGCCACATTTATTACGTGCCATATTTAGTAAAAAGAAATGTAAAATAAAAATAATTCAAATTATTTTTGAGTAACATACCAGCGAAAGCAACCCAGCTGAGTACGGCGGCATTGCATACTTTGTAGGATGTTGCGTTATTTCTACCTTTTTTTTTAATATTCCGGCGGCATGTTCTCTTTTTTGATGTTGGGCGTTTTACCAGACATCTAGTTGCAAACCCTTTCATTTAATTTCAAAATCCAAATTTTTGTTAGACTGAAAAGAATAAATAAATAATAATAATGGTCTGATTTAAATTTATTAAATTTCTATTATTGAAGTTTAATTGTTCATATAAAATTGTGAATCTTTTGTTATATTGATATCAATTTTTGCTTTTATTATTCTTCACAATATACAGGATGATAAATATTCGAACAATATATATTGCAAGTACATATATTCATACTTATCAAATGATAATAATCCAACGGATAATAATAGTAATAACACATTGATTGATTGATTGATTGATGTATTCACGCTCATAAAATGTAATATAATGCTGTGTTGTGTACATTCAGTGAATGAAAGTCTCAGGGCGTGGATGATATCTATTAAGATTTATAATTATACACAAGTGAGAAATAATCATAAATGATTGCAGCTGCATCTAAATTCGTTCAGTGTTAGATATGTATGCGTATTTGTTTTTGTTGAGTGCAAAAAAGTGATCGGTTGAACTACAAAATGGAAATAACAATAATGCGCATATTACCAAAATACATATTTTAGTAAAAAAAATCGGACGGCCCCATTGTTGAAGGCAATTTCGGGAATTTTGGACATTATTATTATCCCAGACTAGACGCTTCATAAAGCTGTGTGATGCGGCAAAATGATGACTGTGTGTGAGGATTTTACATAAAAATTTGAAACTGTGAGGAAAGAAAAAAATCCCAAACAAAAATATTGAGACGTTTGATATCTGGCGTGATTGAAAAGCAAATTTACATAAGATCTGAAACTAAAAACAAAAACAAACCTGTTTCTGGCTTGATAAAAAAAAAGGTGGGGAAACATGCTGTGCTTCTTTTTTTGCATTTTTCATTTTTTAAATGCATGTTAATCGTCAAATAATTTAGCACGAACCTAAGAGAGGGTTAGACAAAACAGACATTTTTGCAAATTGCATTTATACAACCAAAACTTTCACATCCGAACAAAACCATCCAAAAATCACGTGTAACCAATATTATTGAGCTTCTTCTTTTTCACTTCGAATTTCTTCAGGCACATCAAATTACAACACAAGACAAAAGCAGTGTTTGATTCTCCTCGTCCATAATTCAAGGCACATGTAAAATCTTGTAAGGCTGGAAGGAGGGCCACTTTGTTGGTTAACAAAATAACCATCTCAACCCTCCCCTGTTCAATTAAAGACACTTCGGTTCAATTTCTCAGTAATCTTCGGTTCGAAAAAACAAAGTCTTTGATTTTCTTTGATATATATTGTGTTAAGTCAGGTTTCAAAAGGAGTAATCGTCGCTGTCGCCAGCGTAGTCTCCGGAGTCTTCGTCTCCATCCAGCGCGGACAGGTTGCTCAGATCGCCCCATGCGTCCTCATCTTTGGGTAAGCTTCGGTTGAGCTGCTGCTGATGTTCGGCCAGCTCGTCCAGCCGATCGAGATTCGGCGACAGAATATCTTCGTCGTCATCATCCTCACTCAGATCATCGCTGTACATCATTCTGAAAACGATGCATTTTATTAATTACAATAATAATAAGGATTGACAAAATTCTCAAATAAGGGACACATAATATTGAAAAGCATTTTTAAATCATTTATCAATTCAGGGGACAGTTTTATGTCCCTTTAAGCCATGCATATATTTTTTTTTACTAAATATTTGCTATAAATAGACTGGTGAAAAAAAAATATAGTTAAATTTCGCCCAATATTCATTCTGTAAATGGATTTGAATTTTTCAAATTTTAACATTCTGATTATGAAACGTAAGCTTAAATAAAAAATACTTTTTTATAAATTTTTTTGCTATTCTTGGTTTCTTTGAACATCTCAGAAGTAATCCAATTTTTTTTTAAATTTTTTAACCAATATCAATGAAATTTAAAATTAGCTCATAAAAAAAACCTCCCTAGAAACCTTGAAAATTAATTTTAAATACCAGGTGTCAAAAATTAAACATAAAATCTAAAATCCCATTTATATTCTCATTCTAAACATTTGCCAACAATTATTTTATGCAACTTCCTTTTGATTTTTAAAAAAATTTACAAAAAGCCTTTTTATAACTATTCTTTATTTACTTTATTGGGATTTTTGTAATTCTAAATTTGAATAGAAAAGTGTCTTTATAGAGAAAAATTATCTTTTTCTCCAGTCTATCAATAAATAAACTCCAAACAGATTTTCCCCTTCTGAAAAAGGGATCAACAGAAGCAACACAGAAGCAATTTTAGGTGATTGAGTTTTGCAAGTTTGCTGAAAAAATTAAATTTCAAAATTGTGGGATTGATTCGAAGTTCTGGTTTTAGTTTGTGATTTTTCTATTAGTGCCATGCAGTTATGTCTAATGTGTACAGCATGCCAATGGATATTGCGGTTTGAGGAGTTACTCAGATGTAAATAATACAATCTCGCCTCGAGACACTCAACAATGATTTCATTACTTACTGCCCAACTGAGGGCGGGCTTCAACAGCTCTACTACTAAATCTCATCTGCCCTGCAACCGACCAAGACACAGAAGATACTTAGCAAAGTTCCACCACCACAAAGCCGCCCAGGCACTAATTATCTCAGGCGATAACAGTTCGAATGGATTTTCACATCCAAATGAAATTTGGAAACAATATATATGTTAGGAGAGATGTGTGTGTGATGGAGAAAAGCCCCAGCTCGGCCGAAATAGCAAAGTTCTATTTAGAAAGTTTAGTGAAGACTTCTTCGATTTTGGGGGAAGACCGCCTCCACATTTTTGGTAGTTGATGGTTATTTATGGTTAAATACTCGGCTTTTTCTTAGACACGTACAAATCGTCTGGAGCGTCGGGCCCACTTTCTTCGGCCACGAGCAACTCGTACTCTTCAGCAGCAAATCTGTCCCAGTCAGACATCTGTGAACAAAACTCAAATTAGAAAATCTGATTTCAAAATTGAAAATCATGATGGTGATGATGTACTATAGAAAAGATGTACTTTCCACATCGTCCAGCTTGCAAAGAGGACAAAAGATGTTTATTTCCCTTTGTATAAATTATAGAAAATTATTTATTTACCTCAGTGCCGTCAGGGGCAGACTCTCTTGGTTGAGTGTTGAACGGATCTCTCTGTTCGTGGTCCAGGAACTTCTCCAAATTGAAGAAGGTGTCGAAGAACAACGGTGACAACTTGCACCTCTTCAAGTCCCTGAGAGAAATCTTCCCGGACACTTCAGGCCGGATCATGTCCAACATCTGACACAGGCAGTCTTCAAAAGGTAGGGTGTCCATCCCGATGGCTTCCATTCTCTGAAGCTGCTCTTCGTAAAAGTACTCGAGCTCGTACATGGAGAGATAGCCATCGCCGTCCAGGTCCATACACCTAAATTGTAATTATGATTAGCAAATGTTGTAATTGCAATTAAACTTTGGCTTTACCTGAACCAGTACTCCACAGCAGTCGAGTGAGTTTTGTCCTCCTCAGACAGGAGGAACCAAACAAATTCTGTGTAGCTCATGCGCTCATCTCCCTTCTTGGCAGTTCGTCTGCCTCTGGTCACCGCTCCGGAGAAAATTCTGTCAATCATTCTGGTCGACAAGGCTGGAAATATTTCAAAAATATTGATAAATTATAGTGAACTAGTATCTAATTAAGTTTATCAGCAGTAGAAAAAATGTTGAAGGGAAAAAGGGGAGCAAATAAGTGATTCCGTGCAAAATTTGTCAAATTCAATATTTTAGTAGGATTTTTTTTTATAATTGTACACATAATTTTCAAATAATTTGAAATTAAGGTGATAAAGTTTTAGGTTAGTTTAACATAAAATTTTAAATTTGACTTTTTTATTGTGCAATTTTTTACCCTGCAGTTGCGATAATGAAATTTAATAATAATGTTGGTGATCACATATTTTTTTCAATCTGAACATTTCCAACCTTTAAATATTTTATTTCAACTAAATTAACTAAAAATGTTACCGTGGTCGTTATGCCTGGCCAGATCGTTGCGGTCGATGAATAGGTCGTGATCACGGTCGAGCTCCCAGAACTTGCAGTAAATCACATAGAAATGCTCGTAGCTGAAGAACTGCGTCACTTGGTTGATGTCTGACGTGGCTTCCAGTTGCCGGACGGCTTGCAGAAGGTGCGATTTTTTAATTTCAGGGATGGTCAAGCGGCCACTCCACGACCTGTTGGCGCAGTAAAAGATTCGAGCTATCACCTAAAATTTTTCGAACAAATTATTTCACAAGAACCTATGAATTATTATTAAAATTTCATACAGTGTGCACGTATCTGGAGTGGAATTCTGTTGCCTCCTTGAGAAAACTGAGTCCTGGGTGAGTGTCGACCACGTCCTGGACCATCGGCGCAAGGTCTTCGGGTGCCAGCCACAATCTTTGGCCTCGTGTCATGAGCCACACCATGCGAGACGCCTCGTCGTTGCCTCCGGAGCAGATTCTGAAAATTCATCAATTAGCACCAATTGCTATATTTTAGGTAACAATATAAATATAATTTCTTTACTTAAGTTTCAAAATGGTATTTATTGTTGCTATTAATTTTTAAATTTTTCTTAACTAGTGATCACTAGCGATAAAAACTACTTTTTTACTACAGAAGTTCAAATTAAGGATTAAATATTAATTTGAAAAACAAACTTGTTGATTCAGGAGGTAATTTTTCATTGCATAAATGCATGCGAAATGTATCTAGCTAGCCATTTTTTATAATTAAAAAAATTAAATGTAAATATTTATTTAATTATATGACATCAGTTATGTTTAACCTAGAAATGAATTATTTTAAAATTGCAATAATAATGTATTAAAATAAAAAAGTAAAAAATTATATTAAAACAAACTATGTTTTAAAATTTTTATTTAAAAAAATTTAATAACAATTTTGCATATAAATATTTTAAAGAGTTTGCAACATTCTAAAAAAATGCTATATTTAAACAATATTTAAAATACTACTTTCCATCTATTAAAACAACACCAATGAAGCTCAGAATTTCTAACTACTTTTTTTGCACAAAAGTTACAAAAAAGATGTTTTTTCAGCGTCACAATGACAAAATTCGGAAACATCCATTGTGAGGAATAATTTCACTTGTTTTTGCATTAATTTTTTGAAGGTTTATCTGGCAATTTTATTAATCATTTGTATGAAGTATCTTGATATGGGCACAGATTGCCTTGAAGTAAACCAATTATAGCTTCATTTTCAACTGAATTTTAAATTTCTTAGGAATTCTGTTTGAAGCGATTGAGGTTGGTCTCGCGGATATGGCAAGTCGATCCATACTCGATTTTGATGTGTATGCAAAATGTATTCATGAATTTTCATAAGACACACAGTTATGAAAAATTAATTTCCAAAGCCCAGAGGCAGTGCCACTACTTACTTGTGCCAAAGGTCAAGGAACGTCTGCAGCAGCACGACTCCGCCGGTCGCCTCGCCACCGCAGGCCAAGTAAAGTGGCATCTTCCAGTACATCGGGAATCCGCACGCCTGCAATCAGAGAGTCGCAAATGGTCAGATCAAGAGGTACACACGTCATCCTCCTAAATATGATCGTCGATGCCCGTGATTTATGCTAAGTACCGACGATCGGTCTCTGTGCTTCTCAAAAGGATGCTAATTCCCTGTAGTTTTATTTTACGGTCCGAAATTATTATTATTATTATTGGCTGCAACCTGTTCTGGCTCGTAAATTTCGGCAGCCGGATCAGCGCATAACTGTTCTGAGGATTAAATAAAAAGAGGAGCTCTTATTGATTTGCGTGACTCAGAAATTAATTTTTTTTATAATCGCCTTATGTTTCAGAGATTATTGCTTGTATGGAAAAGGGTACTTTTTGTTTGACTTGATTATCTCGTGATATTCTGAATTTAACACAAGCTCATTTTTTTGTGATTTCCAGACGGTTTTTTAAATCAGAATTATTTTTTATGGAGGAATATAATTGCTTTCATTATTTTTGTTTTAATTCCACTGGTTATTGAAATAAATTTATTTCTTATAGTCTGTATGAAACTAAGGCATGAATCGATTGGATTTATTTCAATAATATTAATGCAAAATAAAATGATAATTAATGATTATTATGACAAAAAATTAAACAGTCACAAGCCGCATCAGCTTTTATGTAAGTTTCCTCACAAAATCCTAATGACTTCCGATTAGCATCATTAACGTTTAATGGTGCGATAAATTTTAATTACTAGATTAAAAATAAATTATGGAAATGAAAATGTGAGGTAATATTAAAAAATTTAAATAAAAATTTAATATTAAAAAAAGAATATAATTGTAGGAAAAAGAGATTTATAAATTTTAATTATTATATAAAGCTTGTTTATTAAATTTGAATTTCTCTAAATTGATACATAGATGAGATCATAATTTTCATTCACTGACAGCAAAAAGGCGAGGAACGCTGGGTGCGTGTGCGGAAAATATTTATATCGATTGTCAACCGCTGTTGGAGTGAATTTGTCATAGCTGAACGGGCACCAAAGGCCGCGCGTGTGATTGGAAGAGAAAAACCCACACACGAAAATAAGCACAACAGTTACGAGAGAGCCATGATTATAATTTATCTAGCCCCGCATTGTGCTTTAGTTTGCATTTCATCGCACAAGTCAAGGCTGCGCGAGAGCAAGTGGATTTAACTTGCAGACAGAATGAAATTACGTCGAGCGTCAAAGCGAGAAATAGCGATAATGGCACCTGTAAATAAAAGCCGCAATTTATATCTACATGAGTGTGTGTGTGCATAAGAGTAATGCGAACGATACACACACGGCAATTGTCGCAAAGCAAACAATAAAATACGCTTTATATTATTTGCTTTTTTCCATGAATGGGAGGGTGGGCCGCAAAGCATCTGCATTATTTATTCAATAATAAAAGAGCTAATGCACCTCCAGGCTTAATTAAGTTAAATATGTGCGATCATTTGCATACAATGCAGTTATTTTTGATCCAATTGATATTACGGTGCTGTGCTATACCCTTTCATCACGCGTATGAGATTTTTGAAAGGAAATTAATTATTGGAAAAATCATGAAGATTCAAAAATATATTGCAGAGTCAAAATTGTTGCAGAGTATTTTGATTTTTATTCACAGCGAGCGCAGTAAAAAAACCTTCCGATGAATTGTTGTTAAAAGCCGATCAAGTCTTCTAATAATTTTATTTTGCAAATAATATAACTGGAGCGATTTTAAGTTGAACAGATGAACTAATTTTCATTAATTTTAAATGAGCAGTTTTTAGAGGAAAAATTATTTCAGAGTTTTACGAAAAAAAAAGCAATTTTGATATTTAAACATTCAGTTTTGACAATTTTCAAGAATATTCAATGTTATCCTGTAAGATGTCTCTTTTGAAATTACCTATAAAATCTGACATTTAATGCGGAAATACATTGCAATCAAAATCATTTTTACGAATTTTAACTGTTGATAAATTGCGTTGATATCATTTATTATTTTAAAAGCATAACAAATCATAATAACCCTCACCAATTATTATCAAAATACTTTGAAATATTTGAATTAAAACTGCTTAACATTTAAATTCTTTATTTTTTACCAAATACCAAAAAAATAATTATATTTTAATTTCAAAAAATCCAAATTAAATAAATTTTCTTTAAAAGAATGTAATTTACAAACAGATTAACAGTTATTTCCTAAAACATAGTCACTCGTTAGTGAAATTCCCAAAAATACTCAAAACTATACGATCAAATTAAGTTCACACAATTTATGATTTACATTGATTTTTAATTTCAAACGCATGGAAATATTTTTCTGCGTTAATTTTCATCAGCATAGTGAAGTGGAAGATTTTACATAACCTCATTTCGCAATCTCCGATGCGTGGAAATTACACAACAAAACTGTTACGTCCATATATACCTTAGCGAGAAATCTTCCCTCTTTGAAAATCATTAACGATTTGCCGCTCTATGCAAATGCGGCTCTCTCGCTCGCAGCGAAATCGACTTGCTCTTTCACACTCAATAAATCGATCGGCGATGTGCATTGCACACACCTTGCGCGTTTCCAGTAAATTACCCCATCTGAATGGAGAACACAGAAAAAAGAAAACAAATTCCTGGCAAGCGACGACTCGGCGCCTCTCCATTCTTGGCCTAGGTCAAGCATTTTATTAAAAGAGGGTGCCTGGCAAAAAAAAATCATTCAGACCTTGGATCGCCGTTCCTGACAATGATGGGCGAGCGGCAAAGGCTGTTCGAAAGTTAATTTCATTTTTCTAGAGGTCGTTCGCCGCCGAGATTAGCCCAATATGCCGCTGGAATTTTTTTATTATGCTTTTGCAGGTCAGTGAATTATTTTCTTCATTGCGTAAGTGGAATTCATGAAAAACTGCACTCGCTGCAGATCGCGTTTCAAAAGAGCAATTCCGTGTTTCGCCGACTGGTGTTAATTGGACAGATTTATCTGTTTACATCCGTCGGTCTAACCTGATGGCAAATCGGGGTCACCGCGATTTCGAAAATTGACAGTGAGTCGAGGTTGTCGCCTTTTGATTTCTATCTATTGACAATTTTGGAAATGATGCGTTTTGATACAAGGTCATTAATTGATGAGAAGCAAGTATTTCCAAAGATAATTTTGAACTTTATTGCATAGTGGGGGGGAAAATGATTAATTTATTTGAATTTCTTCTGTAAATTTTTTTTTAATTTTATAAGAACACCAATAAAATTCATTTCTATTTTAATTTGGGAACATTTTCTTACCAATTAATAAACGAGACTTTCGTTGCTATTTAAAATCCAAACGGCCCTATCAGTTTTTGTCTGCGAACCTATTTTGAAGCATGAAAAAATTAAAATCAGCAAACTTTTACAACAAATTAAACATTTTCCTCAACTCGTCTGTTTATGAATGCTTAAGTGACCAGTTTTCTTTCATCAAAATTTTAAAACACTTCGTTGAGAAAAGGCCAAATTTTGCAGTTGATATTAAATTTTAATTTCTCTTTGATTTCAATACATTACATCCCATTATTCTCTAATTTTAAAAATAGTTTTATTTTTATAGGCAAATTAAAAGTCAATTAATTAAATTATTGAGCGATCAAATCTTTATTAATCAACATTCTTGGAATTTCTGCGTTTCATTAATTAATTAAGAAAATTTAGGAACGACAAGACCGTTTAGTTTTAGGCCGCAGCTGCCGCCAATCAAGCCAGAAGGTCAAAAGCCTTGCAAAAACTCGGCAGCGACCGTCAAAAGGTCACGCCGGTCCGCATCTCATTTCCTTGCATTCTCGCCACAATATGAAATAAAAATTTGTCCCAATTGACCTAAAAGTCGATTACCCGGCGGCGCTAAACTCGCGAATCCAATATATCGCCTTGGCTTCGTAATTAAGGCGCCGATACATCTTTCGCAGCTGCTCCTCCTTGCCACTTCCATGTAAGGTGCATAAGCTATTTTTTTTTATCATCGCCGCGTTTTTGGACTGATTAATTTAATTAGCCCCGTGGCCTCTACCCAATTCGTTTCTCACTGCATGCTGGCAGTGCTGGCGATAATTTCATGCGACATGTGTCAATTGTTACGTCAGCAAGAGGCGCGTAGTGTGCGGATCAAGGTCCCCGTTTTCCTGCCCAGAGAGCCGCACCTGACGGCGAGCAGGTATTGCTAATAAACTGAAACTAAATTCACCGCAATTTTAGACAGAACGCCAAACTTTTTGAAAAATATATATTATTAAATATTTCATACTATAAACAAAGCTAAAATTATATTAATATGATTTTACTCGAGCTATTAGTTTAGTCTCAAATTGATCCAAATCAATCATTTAACAATTCATCTGCTGTATAGACAAGGCATTATTAATTAATAAAGATTTTTCAAACCATGTTACAAATAAAATTTATAAATGCAAATATAAAATGTTAATCTTGTTAAAATGAAGAACTCGGGCTTTCCATGATCATCTCCCCAAGCCCCGAGTGTCAATTTCTTCAGAAAAATTAATCTTGTATGCTTTTATAATAATCATTCAATTTATAAATTTTATAAACAAGCCCAATTCAACTAAAGGGAAATTTAAAATGAAGAATAACCTTTATAGATTAACTCAAATGAAATGATCAATGTTGATATACTTGATGTTGTATTTATAATTAAAAATATTTGTTGTATGTGTCATATTTACGTTAAAAATTTTACTTGAGATGCAAATTTTAAACTCTAAATAAAACATGAAATTAAAATAAATAATTAAAATTGAATGCTCATTATTAAGATACAAATACATTTTTATATTCGTTATTGTTCGTTACGAAAAAATAATGAAAATAATTATTTAATACTTTAAAAACTATTTTACGTTTTTAAAATTTTAAACATTAACTTGCCCTTCAAATGACATAAAGTTATTTATGAGGCGCGCATACTACATATTTTTTCCGCACGAAAATCCGCTGATAAAACACACTGGTCAGCAGACGCAGACTGCTGCTGAGTTTATTTTTCCAGTTTGCAACTCAACTCACATGTAAACTGGTTTAGGTCAGCTGCACCGACCGACCGCCGATCCTACGCAAAATTCGCGACTCGTTCGACTTATCCTTGCGTGTTTCTTGCAACAAGCAAATAAATGCATTATTTCTGTGATTACTTGTGACTGCGAAGACATTTCCATTTCGCAACTCTAGTTGCCTTGCATTATTTTACAACGTGAACATGAATGTGTATCCGCATGTTCCCTTTTTTCCCAGCGCCAAGATCAAAACAATGCGATTTCTAAATTCTTTTGAAGCATAAACAATGTGCAAGTTCTAATTTCAATTAAAAAATATTATTAAAATTGATGGAACTATCGATTCGAGCGTAATATTTTTTTTTTTAATTATAACATTTAATCTTTTTTATCATCGACAAATAAATTAAACTTATTTATGAACCTTTTTTCCTAACGCATAGATAGTTCTAAATTTTTGAAAAATAAATCTAATGACAGAAAAAATTTATTTAGTTCAAAAGTGAAATCTGTTTAAAAAGTGCTCTCTAAATATAAGGGAAATACGGATGAGGATCATAATTACAAGAATAGCCAAACAAAAATATTTCAACAGCAATTTGCGCTTGAGACCAAACAAGTTATTTTGAATGGCCTATGAGGAAACATGCCCAGTTATTTTTTCACGACAGCAAATCATCGAAGCGTCCAAACATTGCGCCAAATTAATAACCAAGTTGAACGAAACCATAAGCACCACTGTGCTAATTACTTCTTTCAACCACCAATTGCATCACGCCGAGTGGCAACGTTAAAAAGTATACGTGGAGCTTCTGAAAAGAGTGCGATTAAAACAATGAGCGTACTTTTAATTACGTGAAGAGGCAATTAGCGCTGCGGCAAAGTGAAAATTCGCACGAGAACTTATTCTCTGGTCGGGTCTTTGACGCCGGCGGTGCATCGGAGGTCATGATCGTTCCAAACGTGCAAATGTTCCTTTCTTTCTTTCCATATACACACGAATTAAGATAAGCCGAGACGATATAATTATTATGTATTTATTGCGAGCGGCGCGAGAGAAAGAGGCTCGGAGAGACGCGTGGGAATTTATTACGAATGTGAAACCGCGAGCGCGCGCGAGCACCGATAATAATGGCACATTAATGGGCGCAATGCATCATTCCCAGCGAGAGAAATGAAAGTAATAATGCTTTATTTATCCCGGCGAACGTGCGCCGGATACATCGCGTTGTTTTTCGAATGAATTATTTATAAATATACGCGAAACGGGCTCGCCGCGGGCGAAACCGATCTGTTGATTCTTTTAATGAATTTTTGAGCGTGCTGACTTTTACTTTTAAATGCATGATTGGATTTCAAAAACAGTGAAATTTATTCATCGCTCCAAGTGCGGTTGAGAAATTCGTGTGAAATTAGATTTGATTGCATCATTAATTTCTCTCTTTCCTATATTCTGATACTAATAAGGCGTGTTTGCAAATCGTTAGCAGAAAGAAGAAAATGATTTCCCGTTTGCCTTTGAGTTATTAACCTCCAGGAAAGGCTGATTTGCAGCATCATTAGCATTTTCCAAACCTGGGAATCTTTTGCTGGGGCAAATTAAATTGTAATGTAGCAATTGAATGAATGCATGGAATTTTGTTCAAGGAAAATTTAAAAATTCGATTAAAAGGGAGTTATTAAAGAAAAATATTCTGAACATATTTCGGAAAAGAATTTTTTATGAAATTAATATGAAAATTTTAAAATAAATTTAATTATGATAACCACGGAATAAATCAGAATAATATAATTAGCAAAGTTCGATTGTAACCTTTTTTCAACTTTTTTCAACCAACCTGATTATACGATTAATAAGATAATTTTTTTTTTCAAAATTCCAAAAGAAAACAAAAATATAATTACAATGATTGCTTAAAACAAATTATTTCTGTTTGATTCCTGTCATTTAAGGGTAGCTAGTTTTAGGTTTTGTAGGCAATACCGCCAAGCGTGTATGTCAAACAGGTTGCATAATTCAGGAATGGCAGGGGTTCTGCTCCTAATATGGGAATCACCATCATTATCCTCGTCTGATGGCACCCAGTCGTTCTTGTTACCGTCGGCAAAGATAAAAGTAATTGCGAATGTTTATCTTTTTACCTAGCAAAATTACCGCAATTAGTCTTTTCCTTAATTGGCTCGAAATTCAATTTATACTCGTCAAGAAGCCTTTAAATATTTAATCCTATTTACTTATGTTGGGTGTGTTCGCTTTATAGCGATCGGATTTATATTTTCGAATGCAGAAATAAATAATAAAAAAAAAGTGAGACGCACCTTGGCGATGTCTGCAAAGTTGTCTCGGGTAGCTCGCTCCCCAGGGAAGGTCTTGAAGAGCGCGATGACCGCGTGTCTCGCGGCTTCGTGTTCATGCTGCGGTGGTGGCCGGCCGCGTGGGAAGTGGAACCTGTTGAGCACACAACATAATACGTATCAACACCGAGGAGAGGCACCAACAGGCAGCACAACGCTCGCCAAAAGAATGGAAAATGGCCAGCCGGATTTCAGCTGAAAAGCCAGCCGGCCTTCAACCGAAAAGATCAGCTGGAATTTCCAGTGCATGCCAATCTGATCTCATCTGTCTTCGAAAATAAATTATTCCAGAAGGGAAATATGAGGAGTTGACAACTGACAATCAGTCAGGCGGGGCTGGCAGAAACTTTGTTGCTTAAAGCTTTGACGATTTCATTAAAGAGCTAAATAAATTGTATTTAAAAATAACACAAAACAATTATAAATTTATAAGCGATTTTTACCTAAAATTTAATTCATTTTCTTTATAATATGAATTTTAAATATTAATAAGCTATGTTGCAAATTTATTTTTTTTATTACATATTATTTAATTTTTTTTAAATATTTTATTATCAATGTAATTTTTACTGATTTTTACAGATGTTTTCTATTGAAAATTTTATAAATTTATTTGTATATAAATTTATTCAGATTGCAACTATAATTTAGTATTAATATAAAATATATCTTTTCATTCTCAACTCTTGGATCTGAATTAAAATAGCCACTGAGATAGCAAATCAGTAATTAAATTATCTAATAGCATATAAATAGAACAGGAAACAAAGAATAACAATATTTCAGCTAATTTTAAGCAAAACTTATTCATAATCATCATATAAAAATTAGCAATATAAAATGCAGATTAAAAATTAGTTCTGCCACGTTTGAGTTCATCGAATAAACACCAATAAAATTTCGGTTTTATCGCTGCATAATGAGCTGAATTTGGGTCTAAACGGCCGCACGCTTTGATCCGTGGAATTGTGGCATTTCCTGTGGCCGGCCATTCGAATTTCGAGAGCGCACATAAAAAGCTCGGCGCTTTACGACGGATAGAGCGAAGACCCGCCCTGAAAGGAGCAGCGAGCGATGCATTAAAAGTCAGCCGGGCCGTGCTTTTCTCGGCCCACGCGGCCCCACTCACGTAATAATATTCACCTGCTAATCTGCAGCTCGCCGTGGCAAAGGCCGCGCCTCGTTTTGATTTTCTTGCCCGTGCGGTTTTATGAGCTCGGAGACACATCGCGCACGGCCCCTCTCGACCGCGGCGCGCGTTTTATTTATACATTATTGCGCCGGTGAATATAACTCTAATTTTGTGACAAGTCATCAAGATAAATACACGCGGCGAGAGGCGCGTGGGCCCCCATTTTCCAACGTGTCGGCAAAAAACAGATTATTTCGGTCAGGCCTATGAGTTTTGAATTTTGAATTGGACGCAGGGTGCCATTTAACTGACCTAATTTTCTAATCAAGTTGATTTAATTTTAATTTTATTATTATAATTTTTATCTTAAATTTCAATTGATATTGCTAGAGAGTGAGAAAAAAATTTCAGGGCCAATCGTTTGATGAAAAATAAACCTTTCAAAGCTTTAAATTTTGGTTGATATCAAATTATTTTACAATAAACAGAACGTTTGTGGAAAACATTATTAAAGAGAGCTTACATTTTCTTCATTACTTTTTTTGTGTAGAATTAAAATTAATAAAATATTTTGATGGAATTTGGGATCTTACGATTAGATTATAGATGATTATTTTATCTAATCTTTAACTTGAATAATCCAATTTCGATACAAGTCACCATTGTTGCTTAAAATTGGTCTTTGATCATAACTAATCCATTAGTTATATTCAAAATTTAAAGGACAGGACCATAATTATATGAAGATCTTAATTACTGCAACTAAATTAAATTCTTTTTGTAATTTATTTCCAGGGCAATTTCCGTGGCATGTGATTTGTGGCCTGATTTGAATTTCAGTCGAAGCCGCCGCCGCAGACAAAACACGCCCGTCACACCTTTAATTCTCTGCATAGTAATTAAAAGCACCATTTTTCAATCAATTTCAAATGGGAACGTCCACGAGAGGTAAAAAAGTCGCAGGTGTGCGCCTCTCCCTTCACATAATTCATCCCGCGGATTAAAGCAGTTTTCCGCGTCGCGAATTACAACATTTTCAAATGGGGATTTGCACAGCAGAGTGAGATGAAGAAAGAAAGAAAAACGCGCGCGGTCGGAATTAATTACACAATGAAATCGCGACGCGCGCGACATTGAGACTTGACATTTAACACGGCTCTAAAGAGAATGAATTATTGTAAAAACATCTCGGCAGAAAGGCAGGCGAATCTACCGAGGTATTTGAAGAAAAACAGACCGCGCGTGTAAAGCGAGAAGAAAAGTGCGTGGGTCGTTGCGTCGACGGATTCAGAGGCAACTCGGCGGCGAAATCCATTAAATCGAGTGCCGCCGGCTTCAGATTGCTTATTGATTCGCCGCCGCCGCCGCGTGCTGCCATTTAGAAAACTGTACTATTCGTTGAACGCAAAGTGATCCTGTGTTTGTATTTGCATTAAACTTGACGCAAAAGGAAATCAGAGTTAATCTTGAAATCGGAGATGAGTAATTGAGATTATCATTGCATTCGGTAAAAGATAATCTTTTTAAACCACTTTTCCTTAAGTTTAATTTTCGTGAGCTTTTAATCAAATGCATTCTGTGATCCACCCAAGTTGCAAATCACAGTCTCAGTCTGAGTGGAATTAGCATACGGAGTGATATTTAAAGACATAAATTTCAATTTTATTGGGCGCGGTGGTCGATTTTTTTTCGCGTAAGAGGGATTGGCCCTCTACACTCGAGTAGGTATGACATCACGATACGGCTTCAATTTTTATAAATTTGGCATATCAGAGCGTGAAATTCGCTCATATATATCTTTATTAAAATTTGAAAGGCTAAAATTACCTTTAAATTTTAACCGTGCTATCTGCAACTTATTCAAGCTCTAATTCTTGTGTTGCAAAGAAAAAAACTTTTATAATATCAAGCTAATATAAAACAGTTCTTCAATTTGATGTTTTCAGTAGGTTTATTTTATTTTTAATTTTAGATATCATAATTGAATTCATATTTTTAATTTTTTATTAACTTCTTATTTTTTACTAGCGAATTTCATTTCATTTTAATTTTTATAAAAAAATTTTGGTGATATCAATACAGAGAGACTATGTAATATTTTCCTCATATTTTCCGTTACTTTGAAATTTGTTTACCTTGGAATCGGCGCATGGTGACTCCTGAGGGTATGCTGTGACGAATTTGGAGATCCTCTGGTCGTAATATCACCACGATCTCTGCATGAATAAGTCTGGAACAATAAAATAAGACAGCTGTAAATCTTCTCTTCTTCAAACGAAATAAAATATCATTTAAATGGACATGCATACACGTCACAACTTGTGTTAAAAACGCAACCAGAAACTTTAAACGTTTTTATTGTAACAAAATAAAAATCAATATTAGTTTTTTCTCCCTCCTGCTAATTGATTTACGTTGACCAAACAAGCCATCTGTGTAACTTTCAAGATCTGATCAAGCAGGTAAAGAAAATCAACTTTGGAGGCTGCGTAAGTCATGCACAAATAAACAAATACACAAATCAACCTTAAGACGAAATCAATCACGGCGAGCTGTTTACGCCGGTCGTGTCCGAGCGAGCACTACTTGCAATGACGCAATGGAAAGCTACTGCTGCGAGGGATTAGTGTCGGTTTAATGACCAAGTTAAGCGCAGGTGCATCTCTTCTTATGCACGTCTGATTTATGCAGGTCGACCTGGCCGGTCACGATTCGCCGCACGCATGTTCGAATTGGAAAATAGAAATAATTCCCGTCTTGCTCAATATTCCTGTCCGAGTTACATTGTGTGTGGTAAAAGTTAAAAGTGAACAAACGATCGAGAGGCCAATTTTCCATGAGAAACTATCCAACACACAGCCTGCGCTGACAATACGAGAGTGAGAAAAGAAGTCGTGAAATTGCCGCGTGCGCTTGTGAGATGCAGGAGGCTGATAGCCGCGTACACTGCTGGACGAAAGGAAATAAATGTTCAAACCACGAAAATTGATAGCTTGAATTCACTTTTCCTTTTTACATTGAAGGCGGTGATTTATGAAATTGATTTTAGTCCTCACTAGAATGTTCTTTACGTGTACGAGCCCTACATTTTATTTAGTTTTTAATATGTAAAGAATATCATACAAAATTTAAAAACAATTTTTTATACTTAAATAAATAAATATTCCAATTTCTTTTTAATTCTTTTTTGGCCATCGCTTTACATTTGCTACAATTCAAATAAAATAAAAGACTGGCGCATCCCACCAGTTTCAATAAATAAAAGTTTTATAGTTGGATTTAGTCTTCATCACTTGGTCATGCCAAGATCAAACCCTGAGATAGCCAAATTCAGTTGCAATTAAGTTGACTTTTAAGGCTCGGGGTCACCACAAAAACGCTTACCATACTCGATTTTGTTATCTAAATGGAGTTTTTTTCGCACGGTGAAATTCGCACGGCATTTTAGCGGGTCATTAATTTAATGATGCGGTGGCGAATTATTTTCCGATAGCGAATTTACGATCCATCCTCGGCCCTTTCAATACCAACTTATTAAAGAAGCCAAGGTTGAAGCTGCGCGATCTGCAGTAATAAACAAGTTTGCATCGAGGCGACCTTAAATCACCAACAAACCCCCCGTGGGCCGCGAAAACCTTCCAGTAAATAGAAATAATCAGCCTAATTTACTCCAAACATGGACGCGCGTTCCTAATTGCTGGGGATTAATTACCCGCCGTGTTTGAAGTTTGTTAATAACTGGCGGAATATTTCTTGAGCAAAACAAACGTTTCATATCTCGTTCGGCAAATATGGCGAGCGCGAGTCGTTTGCGGCGAATTTGCTGGCGCCAGCCAGGAATGCGCGACGGTCATTTGGGGACGCGACTACGTCAATGAATATGCAACGATCGCGGCGACAACTAGGACTTCTTTCCGTAAAATGGTCAAGCCACTTTTTTATGTTTTTCATTCCCTCGCGCATTGTTTCTATATCGTTCCATAGGGGCGTGAACGCGGTTTGTATCTATGTCGCTTTTTCTAGTTTAGGAGATTAGAAAACGAAACGGTCGAGCGAAAAGCAAATACGGCTAGCGCGTGATCTAGATCTGCGTAAGTGCGTGTATAAGTACTAACGGTGAGTGCAAGTTTGTTGGTTGAGAAAAAAAAAGAGAGAGAAATTGCTCGTTTAGGAAACTTAAAATGAAAGAGAGCTCAATTTTGTGTTTGTTATTATGAAAGCAGTGTGTTGTTGTCGTCGACCTCTTTTGTTCCAGCTGTGCGTGGCCGGTTCTGGACCACAAGATGTGTTGTAAATTCAATGACCAAATGAACGTACATGATTGACTAATTGATAGTGGATTTTTTTAGCTGGAGAAGAAAGTTAATTCCTTAATCAGTAAAGAATAGAAACTTTACAAAGAATTGAAATTTTTAATTTATCAGCTCCTAATTCAAGCCAAATTAATTTTTAAATATTTGATTATCCTGTACTGAAATGAAATGAAACATTTTCACTGAAAATATAATTTTGAGAAAATACACGGAATAAGATATGATTTTATTTAAAGCAACTTGAAGAGTTAGCGACAGGGCACTTGTAAAATTATGAGAAAAAAATGTAGGCTTCTGCCAGCTAAAGTCTGCAAAAAATTTTCTTTAACTTCTTTTACAAGTAAACAACCTATTATATAGTTAATGGTTTTTATTTCAACTGAAATTTTTAACTTGTATTTTAATAAAAAAATAAATAATTAATTAAAATTGGAATTGGAATATTTCTTAATGATGCAAATCTACCACGATCAGCAACTGCCCTTTGCAAGTTTGGAGCGAAAAATTTTCTGCAAGGCTCGCAATAATTATATGACTTTTCAGAGTCATCAATTTCCATTTTTGTCTGCTGCTCGCCAAATTTGAATTTGCGGATTAATCTCTTGTTTCTCTCTCTTATATTTTTATAATTTAGATATTATTTTCTTGGCAGTGCAAATTAACAAGGCGGAAAAGGAATCGCGCGCTCGTCCGTTTGAAAGCAAAAGCGCCGCGCGGCAACCTTTGACTCGCGCGTGGGTCGAAAGTCGTGAGAATTGAATCCTTTGCGCACGACCGTCATTATTTGCCTTTTCGACCATCCTTGAGTGTCACTTATTTGATTTCTGAAAGTAAAAAGACCATAAATTAAGTATCACCGTTTTTTGGCGCGGAGGATGATGCTGCGTGTTCCTTTCAGGATGAAAAATAGCGCGGAGGAGTGCAATCTGACGCATCTCCAAAAAGTGCAACGAAATGCTGTGTTTATTGCCGAGAGTGTGCTGCAAGGGCGTTTTCGAAAACAAAAGTTGCTAATTTGAATGTAGAAAGTTTGTTTTCTAAGCAATGCTTTTATATATTTTCTTTGTAAACATTTAATGAGTGGTTTTTGAAATTTTCTAAATGAGCGAAGAAGGCGTGAATATTAGGCGATTGAATAATTGTGGGCTTACAAAATTTTGCCCAATTTAAATAATTAAAAGTCAGGAAAGTCCTCATAACAAAGGTCAGTAAATAGAAAATAATTCATATTGCAAATTGATAAATTACATAGAGTAGTTGAAGATTTATTGATTTTAATGCTCAACAATATTGTAATTATAAAAATTTGAAAATAAGTAATATAAATTCTGTAAAAACGGATTTTATTTAAGAAAAGAAATATTTATTATATAATATAATTTAAACAATGAAAAAAAATAAAATATGATTAAATAAAATTATAATATATATTCAATTTAAAGAAAACTATTTTAATTTTTTAATGTTATTATAATACAAAGGTTGCATTAAGTAAATATATTTTGTCTTAAACATGCACTCCCGTCGGGCACGGCATTATATCTTATTTCTTACCGCAAACGAGTGCAAAACGAACACGATTTGCGGTCATTGAATTCGCCGGCAACGGATGCAAACCACACAGTGAACATCGAGATCGCCTCAGATTTGACCGCAAGCGTAAAAAGGCGCTTTTCTTTTTCAACGTGTGTTCCTCTTTTTCTTTCCTCACGCCCAATTAAAACGAAATCGGTTATTAAAAGGTGCGACGCGCGTGTGTTTGGTGTCGTTATGCAACTTGTAACTGCTTTTTTTTATCTGTTTTCATAATCGGGAAAATATACGGCGCGGCCATAAATTCATCTCTTTGACTCTCTTCCTCGGAGCCAGGCGATAAGCACCAAGGAGGAGGTGCCGAGTGTAAAATTTATACACGAGAGACTTTTGCTTTTTTACGATGCACTCGCTTCTTCTGATTTATGGATCGCGATTGGTAAATTAATAATTAACCGCCGATTCGTACTGGTGCCTCGGAGAAATTCTTCCTATCTTATTCTTTCGCTTGAACATTTTGCTCCAGTGCACGCGAGTGGCTGCATTATTATTATTATTTCAGCTCTCTAGGGGCTATTTTCGCCTGTTATCGTCTGGCAAACATGTGAAATAATTGACTCGTGTGGTATATATGGAATATAATTACGCGTGCCTCTCAGCAAGAAATGAATCTCGCGAAATAAACGTTGCGTGGATCTTTTCCTTTTGGTATGCAAACAGGATAATTACATCTTGCGGTCGGGCGAGTTGAGAGAGAAAAATAATAACATGCGTTTGCTGAATTTAAGCGAGTGGAAAAAAATGACTGATATATTATGCTATGGCATCCAGCACATTATACAATGATGATTTAATTCACTTATTATAGAATTAAATGGCCCCGCAAGGAATAAATTAAAAATGAAATATGAAGCCACCAAACACTCATCATTTCTTATTGTGGCCTTCTTAAAATACTATTGAATTTTGAATAATAGATTTTTTACATTTACTTTCTTAGGAAAAATTGGGAAAAAATTAGCTTCATGTTAATTAAAAAGACTCTATTAAATTCTTCGCTTATTTTGGACTAACTTTGAGAGGCAAGAAATAAAAATACCTTAAAATCGTAATGGCTGTGATTGTTTTTTGTAACCCAGAACTACCGTTTTTTTTTTAATAATTTTTGTTTATCTTATCCTTTTATCCAAAAAAGAAAAAAAAAAAAATTTTATAAAAATTATTCCAAATATCCAAAAATTAATAAACAAAAAAATTGCCCTGGGTAAAAGATGACAAAACTTCTAAATTATTTAAACTGATTTACTTAATTTTGCAATACCTGCACATTATGTCACGGACTGCAATCTGGCAGAAAGTCAACGACCAACACGATTTCCTTCCA